TTGTATTTTGTGGTAAACAGCCCCCCCCCTTTTTCACGACTAAATAATGACGTTATTTTGCCTGATGAATTAATTACTTAACCGGAAAACTGCGTAGTAAATCATAAGTCAAACATCTGTCCTGTTATCAAGTTCACACGACACAAATCTTCCACAAGAAATTTGGTGTGTTATTAATGAGACAGTGACTCAGCAGATTCCGATTTAAATTTGTCAACCAACTCAAAATATAGACCTGTCATGTTAATGACAGTGGCTAGACCAGTTGCACCGAGTGCAACGTTTCACGTTGGGATCAGTTTCGTTTTACAGCGTGTAGGAATCTATAAATTACAGAAGCGTTTAAGGACTGCAACAAAAATTAACCACCCAACACAACAACACACACGAAACTCACAACACAAAAGTCACAATGCCACAACACACACACACATACAACACTACCACAATACTTACACAACACTTACAACATGCACTCACAACAGATAGATGTGTCATGTCCAACAATTGCTATATATTGACGCTACCAAGGCATCCGCCTCATTAAGCAAGTTTTTATTTGTCTAGACATTTGACAGAGCTCTGGGCTGTGCAGAAGACCTGATAGACATTCGTGGCTGCTCTGCTATCTTTTGACTAACATTTTATTTAGTCTATACTGACACCGAAGCTTGTCGGTAGTACATATTATGACCTCCTGCTGTGGAATTTTTTTGTTCACGGATACTGTATTTATACATCACGAAAAAAAGATGTGGGAAAATTACTGGAATTGTTTGAATTTCTAGCGGCTTTCAGGTTCTATACTTTGACTGTTTAACTTCTGTCAAAGGCGAAGCTAATTTTACCATTTATAACGGGTAGATCATTTTTTTTCTTTTCAAAATCACTGTCAACTAATAATCTAGAATGCCTTTACGCTTGGTAGGAATAGTTCAAGTTCTCGACGTCCAGTCAAAAATTCCTGATGCGGTATTTTGCATTCTAACAAAGGGTTTAAGGTCTCGTGGCGCAACGTTACATATCCAATCAAGACGGCAGCACAAAGATCAGTTGAACCGTGGCCAGTTAAAATTCCAACCTGCACAGTTATCAAGTTTAGGACGTTTGGTTAGATTGCAAATATTATTCGCAGACTGGTCAGACAATCTCATGTCTCAACTTAAATTTAAAAGAAAAAATCCATGTTTGTCGAGATTTATCAGATTTACACTCATAATGTAGAGCATAAGCACCTTTTGAGATAATTAGTAATATGAAGACCATATTTTGTGTTATATCATAGGCCTTATTTCTATTCTTGCTCAACCCCGGATCCACTTACACTTACAGGTTTAGTTAAACCCGTTGAGAGTGTTATCAACACTAGTCTTCTGACCATGTCATCTTGTAAAGGAAACCTATCCTCTTTTGTCACATCCCACACATAATAATTTACACCAACGTGAACAGGACATATCCATTATAGGTTCACCCGGATTCGTGTGTATTAAGGTTGAAAGTAGAAATTATTAACGCCAGGCCCGTAGCCGGGGGTGGGGAGGTTGGGTTGGGGGGTTCGAACGAACCCCCCCTTTTTTCTGTGATCTAGGTACACTAAGGTTTCATGGTGAAAGGTCCACTTTTTCAGAACAATATCCCTACCCCCTTTGAAATTGCTGGCTACGGGCCTGTGTGCACGATTGATATATTTCTGCAGGAAAACTTATTTTCAGATATTTAAAGGCCGACAGTCCACTAACAACTCCCTCCACTTGCGAAACCCCTTTTTTATTTAGTTCTATTTTTCTATGTTTTATTTATTTATTTATTTATTTATTTATTCCTTTTTTGTATTTACATTGTTTGACAAAGATGCTTTAAAACAATTTTGAAAAAATGTCCCTTGAGAAGAAGTAAAGCCCAGATTACATTTGCCTCGGGCGCCATACGATGAAATTGTATATAATTTTCCCTAATGTTTTGACGGGCTTACAAGTTTCAAAATTTGTCAAAAGTTTTAGCTAAATAAACATAATCGTAGAGGCTATGGTGGCCGTGAATCCGTATAGTACGATTTTGCACGATTTCGCACTGCCACCGCCTGCCTTTGCACTTATGCCGCACGCAATGGGATTTACGGGCAGAAAACAAGCACACTACGGACATTGCATGGAAAATGTAATCTAGGTTAAATTTATTCTCTAGGGATATTTCTCCAAATTTTTTAAAAGAATGTTTGTCACGCAATGTTTAAAACGTCCTTCGTCCGAATAAAAACTTTATTAAGGACAACATGACTAAAGCATGCATTTCGCACGCCTGAGGTTAAAGGATATCCCAAAAATGTGCCGCGATGAGGAAAAACAGTTAATGGACACTTGACGGTTGATCCTTCACGTCAGTTTTATTGGACAGCACGCCTAACATGTATACTTTTGTATATTTTAGTGAATGTGCAAACAGAACATGGTAAGGAGGGAAAGTAAGAACCTTTGATTTTATTTGCCCGAACGGATACGTGTAGACCTTCGCGGCCTTTATCGGTTTATTACCGTTTTAACATTAGACCATCGGCTTTCATATCAGTTTTAAATTAAACCCATTTTCGTCATAAATCTATATATAAGGTAGTCACCTGGTTGTACAATCGAGTATCTACTACCTACAGTTAAGACCAAACCCTTTTTTGTCAGGACCAATAAGAACGGGACTCAATCTAACCACGCCAGCATTTGCCATAGCGGTAATTTCAATCGACTTTGATATTGACTTTATTCGTAGGCCATAGTGAGAGAGTAATTGCCCTTGGCAGCAATATTGTACCGTGACAATAAAGTATCCAAATAACGAACCTTGTGTTTGGTTCATTCAGAAAACCCGTTGCTCTATGGACCAGCAGTGAACTGTCTGCTCTGGGTGCCGCTCAAGTCGTTATTGGATCTCAACGTGTACATAACCGCTGATGCAAAATAAACATGTAGGATGGTGTTTTCAAATTAAACTTTTCCATTAAGAGAAACAGGTTTGGAACAAGATTTTTTTGTACTTCAGAATCTTTGTAAGCCTATTGTTCGTTTTGGAAATAGAGGTGAATTTTTTATCACCCACTGGGAGCTACAGTATATATTTTCTTCCGTCTCTTTGATATCTTAACACATTCCCAATGTGAGCCATAGATGAGTCCTAAAGGGTTACAACAACCAATCTACATTTGACACATCCCTGGCAAAACACAGTGTTGAGTAACCTGTTTATTGCGTCTGTTTCTGTGAGAGAGAGAAAGAGAGAGAAAGAGAGAGAGAGAGAGAGAGAGCTTTACGGTTACTTGCGTACCGGTGCTCTGTGAGTTAATAAAAAGAATGATTTCTCGTCAATATGAGAAATCCCTCCCGTCGCATCACGGCACTGGTTTGGCCTGCATGTTGGTTGTTCGGCATTCACCTTGATAAATCGGGCTGATAAATCCAACAGCAATGATTGGGAGCAGTCTAGTCATACATAATATGCCGTCTGCGCATGGTCTTAAATTAGCGATCGATCGGCAGATCAGTTTATGTTATACATCAACATCAATGGCGCTTGGAATATTTACCCAACAGATTTTATATACGCCCACTGCTAAACCCGCTATTCTCTGTATTAATGGTATTACATGGTAATAAAGGGTTTTGTTTTAATTCTCAAAGTAAGCGCACTCTCGTCTTCCTGAATTTGGTAATGGCAGATTTTTAGCCGTTTGATATAATCTTACGATGCTGAGAGAAAATGCATACATACTGTCATCTTACTCCCTTATTACTAAAAACCAACTGCTTGCAATAGCAGATCAAACCAGCTCAAATGGTTGGAGATAAAAATACATTTGGTGCAACTTTGAAAAACGTGCGACTTCCACTGAAGATGAATGTATCTTTATTTCTTGAATATGGAAATAAAAGGGAGATTTTTTTGTCCTCGATAAAATTACATTACATAAAATCGTTTAAAAGATCTGTCTCTCTCTCTCTCTCTTTCTATATATAAATATATATATGCATGCATTTCTTTGAGTAATATGGCAACAATGTATGCTGTATGTTTTAGAAAGGAAAAACGAAAGGAACTATCGTGTGACTGCTCTTTCTTCTCTCATTCTTTGCATTGATTTTTACGATATGTATCAACGAATTAAAAAGTCGATTTTTTGTACGTCACGGAATTTTCCATGACGAGCATACTGTGTATCGAAAATTCGTGCACTTTGGTGCATTTAGCTGTTCTATAGCTCGCATCGTGAATTCGCTCACGCTGAACCATATGTATTAGAGTTGATTTGAACAGAAGAGACTGGATTTCAAAGTAGCTCCGCTGAGCAAGTAAAGTGCTGCATGAGCAAAAAATAACTGTCGATCCACGGGAACATGCCGCGGCGCCTGCTAAACATATGTCGCTTTACACTAAACATAAGCGTTTCTATATGTACACAAAATAATAAAAACGTCCAAATGATGATAAAAATAACTGACGGCTGAACTGATAAAGATCACAACATGACCCGTAGGCTACCATTTTCTCTGGGGTACTAACTAGTTCTACGCAAGCACGTGTATTCTTCATGTCTTAAAAATCTAATTGGCATCTCCTGCATTTAACATATAATAATTCATAATAATCACCAATTTTGGCACGACCCGTGGGAAAAGTCCGCATAACGGAATTTACTCTGAATTCCAATAAATAATGTAAAAATGAGATATTTTCTTGTCATGGTTATTTTGAGGAAATATATGTACTACACCCAGTCATCAAGTCTTCGAGTGACTTCCAATTTCGCTTGGTTGTAGCGTTGTCAAACTCAGGTGAGTGAACCCGCTATCCATTAATTCTATACTCCCACGGCTAATTATACATTCAATAATGATTTATAGGTACTTATGAGGTAGTTGGTTGGCCAAGCACACCTGAGTTCTACTCAAGATAAACAGGTGAGATTGTATCAGTTGTATGTTGTTGTTCTATAATCTGTTCACTTCAATCATAATCCAAGCCGTTTGATTGGTGTAAGCGATCTTTTGCAAGGCACTGTGCCCACGAGTAAGCACGTTTATTTATGCATTCAGTGCCTTTATGCATTCATTCACTTGCCGCTGAACGGAGCACAGAGCTAGCGCTTGTTCAAGCAAACACCGCGTTTAGCGAACAAACCCAGCATTACAAAGGGCAGTTACTGCACCCAAGACAGACAAATAGAGCACCGTGACGGACTCACTTCCGCGGGGAAGACAAGACGTTTTTCCCGTTATCTTCATTTCCAATACTTGGTAAAGACGTGTGTCGCAGCCACGGCGAGATCCACCAGTCCCGGGTAAGTGTTTTCTTCGAAACGAACAGCTGCTTTATCAGCACGCCGCTTATCCCATTGTCCATTAGGCATGGTTACTTTACAGTTACCGGTACGTTACTACGTGAATGATAAATGTACTTAGGTAATACAACCCTGAATTAATATCATATACGTCTTAAGAAAGCTGAAAAAAGAACAGGATACGTTATCATGCGTATATTGCTACGATTAAGACCTCTTAGTCATGGCTCTAGCATTTGACAACCGTATGACCTGCTCCGTCCTTACAGCCACGTGCGGGGTTGAAATGAAATGCGTGACAGTGCTGTGCAGCCAGCTTAATCGTCTCTTATGTTTTAACGGTAAAACATTATTCGATTCTCTAGAGACTGCTTTATTAATATAGATTTCCGTCACAATGCCGACAATGAGACAAAGGTATTCTTATCAAGACATATTCATTTTCCGAGATACAGTTCCATTGCCTGTCAGGTGAAGGCTTTTGACAACCGTCTGGGGGCAGTGCGCACGTCAAGTTCATTGGCGAATAAAAACGGTCTGAAAACAGGTTTGCCTTGAATTTATGGGTTTTTTCTTTTATTCACTACCAAGGTAGCGCACAGATTGTAGACAATGATCTTTGCGTCCTTTAGCCCCACGTATTATACTGAATTCGTGTATAGTCAGTATCTTTGTGGGTTTCATGTTGGTGGTTTATTTAATACATTACAACCGAATACGCAGCATGAAGGACCGGGGTCGAGCATTTCTCAGGTTGAGGTGGACTTCTTGGCATATCTTATTTGATGGTTAGCTATTCTGAGACTATTGCAGAGCATTCGGGATGCATATGTTTATAGAAAAATCACTTCAGGTAACCGAGCCCACCGTTGACCTTTGCAGGCAACATCAAGGAAAGGAATTGCTATCGAACGCCTTTTTCACTGGATTACCCTTTATTGAAAGCATGGCTGGTTGATGATTCCATACTCTTTCTGGAATTCTTTCCTTTTAAGCCAAATGGCTGGATGATTTTAGTCAAATCAGAAGTTTGAACTAAGTAAAGATGAAAAACAGTAAAATATTTTACATTTTTTCTAGGCTACATGAAATATCTGGTATTTACCTAAAATTCAGTATGCTTGAGTTTGCCCAGTGATTGCCTCTCTATATTGACCGTCACCTGAATAGTTCACCGTTATTATGTCAGAATTAATAGAACCCTAATATTAATCGTCACTTCATTGATTTTTCCTCTGGATCAGAGTACTTGGTTTCCTAGTATGGCAGAAAAACGGCTTTCAATGAATACATGGTTTTCAGCGATTTCCCTTAAGGCAGCTCGCCAACCATTATTGAAGGCCAACAAATTCTATGGTTCAATGTAACCACATCATGTAAAAATGCAATATTCATAAGGAAAAGTAATAGCATTACTATAAAAGCGTGTCACATGTCTTTGAGACTGTGAACAGCATATATTTCATGGACTTTCCCGAAAAAAAAGCCATCGTTGACCATTGAAAGACCCCTGCAATGGATTGCTAAGGACTTCAGCATGGGCCATTTCATAACACGACTTCGTCGTACCGTGTATTGTTTTTACAAGCTTGTCCAAATAACCCTTCGATTAGTTCTATATACCTGTTCATTTATCAAATCCAACCATTCACCGGCGAGGCGTGTTCCCTTGTAATTTATTTATCCAAGATAAGTCCCTCGTTTTACTATTTGCTCAAAATCCGAGGCCAACACGTTACAAAAGTTAATTGGAACTTACAAGAAAATCGCTTCCTTTTATTAAACTTACAGGGGCTTTTCCACTCCCTGGTTCCTTTCTTGAGAAGGGGGAATTGGGTACGGCGGGAGGGAGGTGGGGCAGTTTTAGCCACCACGAGAGGGCGCACTTGATCACCGTTATAAGAAAGGTTGAAACGTCTCCGCGCCGTAGCGTCAACTGCAAGTATCACCTCAGCATGCTTGCAGCATGCCGTTATCAGAATACAAGTTTTTATGAAGCATTTGCATAATTTCTGGAAAAAATCTCACGGTACCTCTTAACGTTGTTTATTTTTAAGGTTAACCTCAGCTGTTAAGTTCATGGATAAAAGTATTATAAATAGTGATTAGAACTAAATCTTATTACGCCACATTCTGCACAATTATCAAACAGGGCAAATGTTTTGTTTTTTAATCATCCAACATTTGATCAAACTATTGATATCTTTTTTCACCGTTTTACTCCAAATGTAAGCGCTTAGAGGAGTTTCATTCCAGTAATTTTGCTGTATATAGCATAGATTCTACTCCCCGAAAAGAACGCAGGCTCATCACTCACCACGTCATTCATACAATGGCAGATGTGTCTGCAAATTTAAACAATTCACTTATCAACAAATCGTAGCCGGTAAATAATCACTTAATCACACGTATGCCCAACCGTTAATCTTCCGATTGCACTAAAATAAAGTATTTTATCAAGGTTTCTCGGTTTTTAGATGAGCGTAAAGCTCGGTCATCACCAGTCCGAAGTCAGTTGCCAGGTCCTGTCACTTATTATTCTTTTCAATACTTGTTTAATCGTGTTAAATAACGTCCAACATTATTTAAAGACAACTGCACATTACCTTGAAGTTTCCCACGGGTGTTATTTATTTTATTCTTCAGCTCTTATCTGGCAGGATTTTCACGTCTATTACCCTGAGTTTCAGAGACAGCCGGATAATCCCCTCTATTATCGTTATAACGGTATCTATGCCTTTTCTAGAACAGCAATTTATAAAAGTGACCTGTATCTCTGTCGGCTCATCCACTGTCAATGTGGACTTATTTGGGTCCCTTTAAAAAAGTCCGATTGAATCGGCGGGCAATGTCTCCAGTGAAAGGCAAAAAGTACCAGAAATAGGGCCCTAGTTATGCTAGTGTCTTTCACACACGTCCGATGCTCGTGTTATTTCTTGAAATTTGGGTCTTCCGTTCTCCCCGTCTTCTTTGCCCCAAACACGTGACTGGTAGATATAGGTCTACTGAAAAGTGGGAGTGATTGTGGGAGAGGGGGGGGGGGGGGCAAAGTAAAAGTCAGTCCAATCCAACGAATTTAATGCAATTATCTCTCTTTTTCTCTTTTTTTCTTCCAGAATACAATTCTGAATTATTTCTCGATTTTAGACGGCGGCATGACCTTCCTCTTTATCAAAATTTGCGGTTTGGCATTCCTGACCCCTATTATAATACCTATCTTATAAGTTAACCTCGGTTCAGTTTCAAGTGTTATTCAACCAGCAAAGGGTCCAGTTGAATCCAGCCGAATTATCTCAATTTATCAGCCTGTTCGGACCTGATGGATCTGGTTTCTTTTAATTTGAAATTTTTATTAATGAATGTAAGAAATACAAAACAGGGACCATATCAAGATCGTGAATAACTTTTCAAGTTTGGTTTGTATTTATCTTCTAGCTGACGGGAGGGGAAGGGGGTACATGAGTGAATTGGGGGGGGGGGGAGGAGATTATGAAACTTAATCGGGGAGAGGGTGTGGCAATTTGAAAATGCGCCATATGCCCGCCATCCGCGCCTGTAATCTAATCTAATAATCTGACAAGAACTTTTAACTTTCTTTCAAATGTATAAGGAAAATATTAGCATTTTGATATTTATTGAAATGACAAAGATAACCTTGTGAAAATGTAAATACACAGATTAAGTAAACTCGTGGAAGGATACATATAAATAGAAGTAAAAATAGTGGAGCCTATGTTTGGAACAAAGTGGAGCTAGTGGTAAAGACATGATACAGCAGCTATTGACTTCATTGAGTCAGCCAGGCGCTAGATTCAGATCGAGTCCGAGCGAGTTTTCGGCTCTGAACCAAAGACTTTAAATAGTCTTCTTTGTTTTTGTTTCAGGGACCTATTGTATCGCTCAAAGAAATACCGTTCAAAGAAAAATGGAAAGGCTAAGGAAATATATTTATCGGTAAGAACTGCAATACCTTGAATATATTTTTCATTTTATTTTAAAAGTAAGCAAAGCATGTAATGATTATGAGTGAATTTGAAATATCACAGACGGAAAAAACTTCGGAGAGAAACGTGGTTTGTCTTGGGCCGTAGCCGTTGTAAACTTAACAAACCGTATCGGTAGCGTGCAACTCACTCTTTCATGTTCTTTTATCAAACGTTATTTTTTCACAGCATATTTGTGTACCTACGACGCACTGTTATGCTGAATTTGATACCAGGTCAATCTATTGAAAAATGGCGGTTCCCCATTGTATGTATTTTAAGATATACATATGTAAAATATACTTTGCTCCACTTACTATTTAAAGCAAAATGGATCGTCAGACACCTGACCAAGAGAAACAGGCCGAAGCCGCCCTAGATGAGAAGAAAAACGGCGTTTCACCTGTCGTCAACGGCGACGTTCTCAGTCAAGGCACGGTCTCATCTGATTCCACACAAGACGAGGGCACGAAGCTGAAGAAGAGAGAAACATGGACCAACAAAATAGACTTCTTGCTGGCGTGTATCGGCTTCTCTGTGGGGCTGGGAAACGTTTGGCGGTTCCCCTATCTTTGCTACAAAAATGGAGGCGGTAAGTTACCGTGCATCAGACCCAGGCACTCCTAGGTGCTTTGTTTGTTAAATGTTCACAATTGCGCTGTTATAACTTTATCATGATCGCTTCTGATTTGCCTTTATCGCTTTCAGTGGGTACCAAATGGCCCCGTACGTGAATCTAACTTTTTGATTGGCATAGGCGCAAGAAACGTAAACAAATGAGAGTGCTGAAGACAATGGTCTATCAGCCGGTCTATTCCTAAATTTAGTTTTAACGGAAACTAGAAATACATGTAATCACATTTTGATAGGTACCAAATAATACCAAGTCTAAACTGCATCATTTTTAAATTAAGAAAATATTTATTAATTTCTTTATTTATTGATAATTATATATTTCTATTCTTTGTTATTACTAGTATGCACACTGGTTTAAAGGATTAACAGGAAAGAAGTATAAAGTATGAAATGTATTTACTAGTAAACATGTCTCTCAGTTATGATAATATCTCAGACATAAAAACCCCTAGAGGTAAAGTGTCAGACATCTACTTATTGGAAATTCAGTGAACTTAAGATTGATATAAACAATATGAGGGACAACAGTTTTTTTCAGTGGGAAACTACTTGTTTTTCATTTAATCTTTAAAGTGGAAACCATCTTTGTTTATCTTAAGTAGACTTCTTTTGTAAAGAAATATTTGATTATTAATGGTCATTCACTATTGGAAAAATACCTTGCTTTACACTTTTTGTCTCTGGAGTGTTTTCATTAAGTGATTCAGACTATTGTCTTTTTCAAAACATCCTGTTTACATCCTTATTTGCCCTCTATGTTGAAATATTATACAAAGGAATGAGTACAGGTATATTTTTAACTTCTGTTAAATTACAAGGTACCCAGCTGCTATTTACCTGAAAATCATGTTTACATTTCCTAATGTTTGAATGCTCAAAACAGCCCCCACATACGGTACATTGAGTTCATGGACAAAGCCAGCCTGATACAAGGAAAGGAAAGTTTAAATGTGTTCTTATCAAAGGCCAAACTTAAAGGGCTAGTGCATCGGGATGGAGATTGAGAAAGCACTTAAGCAAGGGAACCCAAACAATGAATCGTTTTATTTATAAGTACTTATGATGTCATCCTGTCTTCCAAAATGTCCCAATCACCTGGAGTATTCTGAAAAAGTTTTGCATAAAAATTTGGCTTAAGCCAAGTTAAGGGTTGCAATGATTGCTGTTTTAGCTTCTAGTTTATAAGCAGGCAAAGTGGCTTCATTGTTTATAAAGCAGACTGAAGGGTGACACAACGAGATCTTCAAGTAGAAAATTTACTTGTAAAGGTTTAGATGGTGACAAAAATCCCTTTAGTTATCCCTTTCATTTGAAGGTGAAGGAGCATCACCTTGACATTGGATTTTTTTTTCAAGTTCACATTACAAGACAAGTCAGTATTGAGTCTGTCATAACATGTTTGCAAGTCCTTTGACTTATCATTGATGCACTCTGAGATATTTGATGTAGTAAACAGGCCGCTCACTAGATAAACACAGAAATATCACTGTACCATGGTTGAAAGATTCATGCGTAGGACATGAAAGCAAGCTGTAACCAGATTTTCTCCAAACTATGATGGAGTGGATGCTTGTCCAGGAAGGGGGGGATGTAATGTTACAAAGATTGCACGAGCCGTAGTATTGAATTTCTTCATGTTACCTTATACTTTGCAAGAAAAAAAAATAATGATAATAACAATAATAACAACAACAAAAATAAATTAATTAACAAATTAATAAATAGAATTGATAAAAATAGCTATTAAAATAAAATGAAATAATTGAAAAATTGAGAATTAAGTTTTAAGACCTACATTTATTTGGCATTGGTGGTTAATTTAATCATGTTGAAAGAGATAAATTTCCTTGTAGGTTCCATGTATTCTCAGAGTTTATTTCAAACTTCACTGCTGGAGGTTTGTGTCACTTTGTAGATGTTCATTTATACCATGTAATTAACCTAACCACTTTCAGGCCTACCCAACTACCAGACTCGGCACCGAATGATCCTGAATTCACCGGTAGATCGGACCACACTACCCGTTTTCAAGGTGTGTATCAGTACTCATTTCACAGTATCAGAAGCGACACTGCTCTTGCCTAGTACGCGATGTGATAGTGACGATTCTCAGCAGGGTTGAAAAGTATTGCATCACCACTCAAAATTTGTTCGGGGTATGATACTGTGCAATGCGTACTGATTCACCAGTCCTCGATTCAATACCAGTTATGAATATTTATAATTTTACTGGCAGTTATTTTTTTTTTAATTTTGTGATATTTCTACGAAATCAAATGTGACCATGCCTCTTATTGATCAAGTAAATGTACAGATACAAATTTATACATGGCAAATGCATTGCTTAGCTAAAAGGTCTCACTCTAGAAATAATCGACTTCCCAGGAAATAAGCAATATGTGCTTTTATAATTTGTAAAGGAAGAAGCTGCAGGCTACATTTTCTGGACCTCACACACTTTAAACTGGACAGAATTCTAACTTTCAGATATATATCAGGCAATTCTTGCATCTTTGCATACCACACACTTCATGATGTTTGGTCAAAAATAGATGGAGGATTCCGGCAATCAGTGGGCAAAGACAAATTTAGGAAACCTTTGACATTTCAAGACCTTTGGGCATTCACAGAATGTTTTTCTGGGGGGTTCACACTGCGCAAAGTGTGTGGGAAAGAAGTAAAGGTCTATGACGGTTTTACTTGGTATTGTGAATAACATGCCACCAATACAATATTTTTAAGTGTCTGAGTAAAAATGGAAGGTTAGAGGTGAAATGTTACTGAAGAATGTGCAACAAACATACTTTCTGTGTATAGAAAAAAGGCAAAGAAAGAAAAAAATTGTTTGTAGGATATTCTGAATTATAATCTTGAGTTCCAACTGTGATGTCAATTGCTAGGTTTATTTGGCTCAGAGGCAAAAGATTTTTATTTATTTAAGTGGAAAAATGGTTTATATTTTTCGCCAATTTATCTTAGGTTTATTGAGTAGCTACTTGGCTTAACTAAATGTTGAAGTGAGCCCTGAAATTTCACCTTATTGTACAAACTGTTTTTTTTTCTTTTTGCATATTTGAATAAGGAAATTTACGCCTAATAATTGTCGAAAGAAAGAAATGGCCAGCCTTAGCAAGTGGGCCACTCTGCAGAGCATCCGGCTGTTCAGTGCTTTATCTGCACCCTATAACATACAATTAAAAAAAGAGTGTATACATTCTAGTTATCCACATGCATGGAATGTATTTCTCACTATGTCAGAGACAGATATGGATCACCCTGTGTATTAGGGTGTCTTACATTAGCATGTCATTGCTGGACCGAGTAAGGTACCATCAGTAACTTGAGACTCGGGGTACATATTGCTATCCAGCTACATAGTAGATATGTATTAGAAGTATTGATCAGTATTGAATATAAGCACAAATGAATCTGCACATGACTAAGATAAATACATAGAGCAGATGTTTCCCGTATTATCAGTGTCTGTTATATCCATAAAGAGGTGCAGAGATTGCTAACCTGTAAACATTTTTGCCCTGAGTGTTTGGAGGAGAACCAAATGCTAATTCTGCATGTTTTTATTTATTTATGAAGTATTATTTCTTTTTGTGAAGTATTATTTTTTTGTTGCAAATGATACGTACATGTATGGTCATAAATAAGTAAAATGTCAGTGACAAGGTCTTTTTGGTCCTGGGCCTGCTAAACATTCTGAAGAGTGGACATTTGCTAAACTTAAGCATCATATATAGAGTCTATATATGATGCTTTGTCCATTTACATTTATTTGTACTTAACCTAATAACCTTCTAACTAATGACCTTTTTTGATTGCTGTTTGTGGTTTCTGCATATTATTGTAAGCAAACTAAATAAAAGAGAACACTCCTTATTATTTAAACATGCATTCTGTCTTAATATTGTACTCAGTGACATGAAACAGTACACAGGGATACTGGTAGTACCCACAGCTGTTTGTGCTAAATTGTTAAATTGTCTTTATTTAATTTTTTTCATTTGGTTTGCTCTTTATCTGATTATCTGTATATGCAGTGGCTGTCATGGCACCTTATCAACTAAAAATTCCAAATCGTACAGCATTTATATATACTATACTGAGTGAACTTATGCTTTTGACTAAAGAAGTGCTGTAACTTTGAAAAAATCCCTTAGACATCTACAATGTATATTATTGTTGAAGAAAACATGGAACAGTGCATTATAAGATTGTTTTTTTTTTTTAAGTGGAAAGTTTCTGAATGAACAATAAATATTAGTACAACAGTACACTATGTATAATACAGTAAATTTCATGCACATTTTATTCTAATTAAAGCTTAAAAATTTCATAGTGCTTATTTCATTCATTGTTGTTTTGAGAGAAAAGTGTATTTAAAAGTCTTTTACCCAATGGTGATGGAAAAATCTCAACCATTTCAGGAATAAGATGTAAATGTTAGTTTGATAGAACTCCATTGGATTTTTATGCACTGAACCAAGATGTGTTTTTTTCTACACAGACTCTCTATTTATATCACTGTGGGTCCTTGCTGTGACCGCCACAGATGCTGTTCCACTGATCTGGTGTTCAACCTATTAACTGTCAAACGTTGTTTTGTTTAAAAGTTATTGACTGGCTTTGTTTGTGAAAATGTTGGTTCCTTCAGAAAATTGGTATGATTGGAATATTTTTTCAAAAGTTACTATATTCTTTTTTTTTATATATATATTTTGGCAAGTGGCTTTGTTTGGAAGTAAGGCAGATTTCTTTCAAAAATCTGCAATTCGGTTTATTTTGCAAAAAAAAAAAAAAAGGGTTTTGCTGGTGGCTTGTTGGTGTCTGTTTATTGCCAGCTTTGCTGTCTGGTTTATTCAATGATGCATCAAGGTATCAGGTGTGAAAGGGCAAGTATTTTCGTTCAAACCAAGAAACCCCAACATTTAAATGTAGCTAATACTGTGTTTTCTTTATTATTTAAAACTTCCGTTATATTTTTCTGCATCTCCCTGCAAGTTTTACAGTCATAGTGGGCTTATTGCTACAAAGAAAAAATTTAGCTTAACTCTAAACAAATACTAGTTTTGCTTAGTTGAATGTAAAATATTGTTTTGGACCAAACTTTGATGATTTTAATTTGATAAGGTTCAAATTTTTTATTTGAAAATAAACCAGTTAATCGGCTTCAAGGAATTTTCTCCTAAAGAGAGGCTAGTCAAACAGCCACCTGGCTCTGAAGTTGATGAATTTGATCTTCTTGTGCGTCAGGCACCTAATGATGATGTGAGTTATGCTGACACTTTGTATGAACAACGGGAGGTTCTCTCTATTTATCTTAATATCAACAAACTACCAAAAGCTAAGCACCAACTTCAGCATGTTTAATACCTGTTGTGAGTTCCACTTTTTTCTTTCGTGATTCATAAGGTTTTTTAACTCTCAAGTTTTTAGGTGAAAGGAGAAAAGCAATTAAGTAAGAATACCTGCAGCTTATAAAAAAGCTTACACCCACCTCTTAATAACTAAGTTACGTCATTTCTGTTTTTAAAGATAAATAGATTGAAAAACAGTCAGCTAGTCTTCATTATAGAACTGATTATTCACTTGTGGGATGTATTCTTTTTGGAGAACATTTTTGTACTGTGTTTGTTCTTATTTCTTTTCTTAACAGAGATTTTAATCTGCAAAATGGTGCATGTGCCAAATAACGTTAATTGGCCGAAAATTCTTTTGGGAAATTTACTCTAAGAAATAGCTTTATTAACAACTTATGTGGTGCAATATTATTACATACACCTATTGCCAAACATCGATTTTGGAAGACAACATGGAAATCAGCACATGTCAAGTTTGCCCAAGGGGTTTAAGATTGCAGGAAATGGGAACATAATTTTCTAGGAAATTACTTGTTTTGCACAGGTTTTACCTGAAGATATTCTGCTGGCTTTATGCCCTTGAACACGGCAGATAAGCTGATCCCCTGAAGGGAGGTTTCACCTTTTATCTAATATGTTCCAAGTATATAGATAAACATACCACAAGATCATTGCCTCCTCTAGTCTATTTTCTGCACTTTTTTCCTGGTGAAGGATTACAGCTAGGGCTGTAGACTGGAGGGGTAGGGGTCCTCTCTGATTCAAAATTTGAAATAAATTAGTTAATTCAACCCATATTCTTCTTTATTATTATTATTATTATTGAATTAGTTACATTAACAAATAAATTAATAATAATATTAATTTAGTTGCTATATATTTTATATTTATTATTTATATTTTTGTAAATGACATCCATAGTTACTCTTTGCTTCTTTGCAGGTGCTTTTCTAATTCCTTACTTCACCTGTGTAATCCTTGGAGGAATTCCAGTGTTTTTTCTGGAAGTGGCTTTGGGACAGTTCATGTCCCAGGGCGGGATAGGAGTGTGGAAACTGGTACCATTGTTTCAAGGTGGGTACAAGGCTAATTGGCACAAACAACTAGACAGTCCTGAGTATTGTTCACAATTTTTAGACTTGGTGCAAAAATGAATAGCACTTTTCATCTAAACTTGCAGCTAATCTGTCAAATTGATGGTGATGATTCATTTGATGAGTTCTTGTCAAATTGATTTTGGTGATTTACAAGTCCTGACATAGTAACCTGGGTATATTGACATATGAGATCTGCAAAATGAATTTTTTGATAGGAAAAGATTTCTTTTCATGATGAAGCGTTGTTGTTTCACATCAGTGTATGTGTATTGGTAACTGGAGCACCTTCAGCACACCTATATCGACTTTGCTGTAGTTAATACAAAAATGTGGAATTGATTGCCTGATAAAAGATTCCTTATGGAAGATTTGGGTAATGTTTTTGTTATGAGATCCATAAATGAAGTCATTACCCACAAGTTTGTTTTATTTCTTATTGTCTACGGCACAGTTGGCTGCCAGCATTTTTTCCACTCCGTCACTAGTGGAAAAATTCACTGATTGAACCATGTTTTTGTTCTTGACTTTTTTTTCTCTTTTTTTGTGTGCGTATGGAACTCTTATAATTAACACATTTTACTATCTTTCATGATTATTTCTATCAGTTACATGATCAGTTTGAAGGTGCTGCTTGTTGTGAAAATAAGAGAAACTGTTTAAGGTTATGAAAACTGTTCACTTTTTATTCTGCTGTTTTATTTGAGTGTCACATAGGGCCTTTATTTAACCCCAAAATGAAAATGACTGAGAACAAAGCACATCTTTTTTTAGGCATTGGGTATGCAGCGACAGTCATTGTGTTTTCCCTGAATGTCTACTACAACGTCATCTTGACCTGGGCCTTCTACTACTTCTTCGCGTCGTTCACGTCAGTTTTGCCATGGGCCACGTGTGGCAACGCGTGGAACACCATTCATTGCCGAATGCACTATGATGTTACCAACTCCACCAATGCTACACTCAATGCCTCTCAGAGTGTGGGTAATGACACTATGTTTTCTAACAAGACCAAAGGAGTTGATTCTGTAACTGAATACTGGGAGTAAGTGTAAATTTTGTTTGTTCATCAGTCTTCCATTTTTTTCTTTTGAAGAAAAAAGACCAGATTTTTGTCTTTTAATATTAGTTTTTTTTTGCTCAGTAAATATATAACGTTTGTAGATATGAGATCAATAACAATATTTTAGACTTACATAATACCCCTTAATAGATTTCCATTTTTTCCTAGATTCTCACAATTTTGAAGTCCTTTGTTAACACAAAGGCAGGGTGACATTATATAAGAAAGATTTCCCTGTTTTTCAATTTAAAATGGTCCTTGCATATATTCTGACATTTGCCTAAGCCATGCGTTTGCCTTAGCCATCCACTTAAAATAGAATGGGACTCACAAATATCTTTAAATGACAAAGCACCATTTATTTGGAATGATAACTGTATAATGCTTTCTGTTGGTATGGGACTTAAGTGAAGTTATAGAAAAGAGCAATTATTCACATAGTGCTTTTTCTAGAGAAGAGGTATAATGAGAATTATGGTCTATTTACTGGGTAATGCAGGGAAATGATAAATGTCAGAATATCTGTGGCACCAGAAGAACATGTCATTGCTTGCTGGTGATGGGTGGCCTTGAGAGGGATTTTTGAAATTGCTTGAAGTGATTTTTTAAAATTGGCAGCATCCGTGATTATTTGGCAAATAATTGTTGAAGTGGCGCTTGGCCCTGTGGTTGTGTCAGTATGATAGACATTTACACTATTGTTATTCAACCCAAATTTATACAAACCATTAGTAAAGACAATATTTAGTTTTTACTTTGAGACACAAGAATAACAGAATGTGTTTACATTCTTTGCATGAAAGCAAAATTCATTTTCCTATGTATAACTCATGTTACCTAATCTGAAAATTAATCCTTCAGTACACAGTCATTCAACAAAAAGTTATTTTCATTTGAATTGTCTCCTTTATTTATTTCTGCGAGGGAAATCAATCTTAATACAACTTTGCTGAGTCTGTAAAGACATTATCCTTATGCTGTTTTTAGCAAACTTTTTTCATTCTGGACTTATTTTCTGTACCTAGTAGATCCAGTCGCTAAATTTTTTTAAAAAAATTATTCATATTATAAAATCTGATAAAATCAAAAATTATCAACACTGATATTTGAAAAAAAAAATATTTTGTGCATTTTTAGATATTTACCTAAAAAAAGTACTGAGAGAGGGAGAGACAATTTTCTTTTGCAGCCAGCTAGGCACATTATATATTGTGCAGTTGAAAAACCCAAAGCACATAAAACATTCCTTTCAAGGCACCATGGTTACTCAGTAAATAATGACCTTTTCCATTTTTGTTAGGCATTTCAACATGATGCCTCCAAACTCACAATTCAGTTTGGAGGGGGGGCTGTATATCCTGTGGGCCTTTAATGATCCTAACTTTGATAACCAATTATTTACAAGTAATATTATCCAGACATACTCTGAATTAACATTTGCTCTTTGCTTTTGGCAGATCAATATATTTGACTCTGTGCAGATTTATTCTGTACAGGTAACATCGGAAATTTGGCAGCAACTAGAACAGTTTATGGCTAGGAGGATCAGTCTAACATTTGCCTATTATTATGACCTTGACCTACTTTTTCTAGGTTTAACATTATTTCTTATATTTATAGGTCATTAATTTTGAACCATTATAGTACAACAATTTATGAAATATAGTGTATTGAAATAGTGAAGCAATACTAGACTTTGATGAAGTAGGTCAACTTCAATAAAGGTCAAGGTCAGACTTTTTTTTTTTTTTTTTTTTGTTCAAAATATTTGTATAATTTTGCTGTCATCTTTGGCCCCCAATCTGAGCTAAGTCTTCAAATTTCTCTCAAAAATTCACCTTGAAGCCCGGGATTTTTTCACTTGTTTATATGTCAATAGAGTTGTTTTATACTTTTGGATATATAGTGAGTTTATTTTACAATTTTATAAAAACCATTGATCTTGCAAGAGTGAAATCAATGTTATTGACAGATGTTACAAATAAGTTTTATAATGGATTGCAACACACAGTGATAAACAAAATACAGAATTCTTTTGCTAAACACAATTTGCTCAAAAAGAACAGTAAAGCAAAACACAAGTTAGTTCATTATTGCCCTGGTATCTGGAAATTGATATGCTGTCAGTGTATTATTACTCTAGTGACATAGCTTTTAATTTTAATATCTGTTCTAAGAAATTTAATAGAATGTGAAAGTGGCCATTTATGGGATTATGATATAAAAAAGAGGCATACTTTCATTGTGCAGTTGTACAGTTGCTTTTTCTTATTGACCATGAATTTCCAAACTGAAAAATATCCTTGAAATATAGAGTTTAAGATTAGACAAGTCATGTGGTTAATTTCATGTTGATATGCATTTTCCAATTTAATTGTTTTTTAACACGGGTAGTAATACCATCAATAGAAATGGGGAAACATGCCTTTGGCACTGTTTGCTAAGAAAATCAAGTGAAAATAACTAAAATCCCACAAATGGTCTCTTTACTATTCACAAGTATTTAAAAAACAAAACACAAATGTAAAAGCATCACAAAAAACAAACAAAAAATGACAACAAAGCATAATTCCAATCTTAAGTAACAGTACTAAAACTCCTTTCATAGAATTTTAAAACTAAAATGCAACTCATCAAAATACATTGCCTTCCTTTTATTTTTATAGACCTACGATTGAACATGTAACCCAAGTAAAACCCTTCTGGATTACACATTTCAGCTTAATCTCTAAATGGAAGAGAAAACTGTCATGAAATTGATTAAACCTAGATTACATAAGAAATATCTGAGCTATGGAGATGCCATCGGCAGGCTTTTATGCGAATTAGGATGATACAAGTTGTACATAGCTGAATTTTCTCTCTCACACAGCAGTTGCAACCTTACCCAAAGGCCATTAGATATTGACAAAATTATGCCCCTACTTATGTGTTTATTGGCAGTACTTGTCTCAAAAAAACATTGGAACCTAGATTCTCTTTGGTACAACACTAAATTTAAGACATACATATATTTGGCATTAGAGCATGGTTTAAAATATGAGGTGAAACTTCAGATAATAGAACATTTAAATGTTGTTAATATATTTCTGGTAGAAAACTCTGCTTGCCTTGGGATGAGGGGGTTCTAGGGGTTGGAAGAGGGGTTAAAGGATCCAGTGAAGGAGGGGGTGGTTGGTGGTGTACAATGTGCCGTGTAGTTGGAGAGTAAAAAAAAAAGAAATCTTGGCAGTGTGCATTACTGAAGTGTGATAAACTAATTGACTATTCAGGTTTTCCTTTAAGCACAGTGAAAAAAAATCTTTCAGTTTTTTAAAGATTGGTTCTTAGACTGCTGTATGACTTAAACCCTTTTTAGTTGCTTCATTCCTGTTTTTTATTGATTTGTAGGAAGAATGAGTCAAATTTTATAGATGACTGTTCAATGTCTTGATGATTTATCCTGGTCTTAAAAAAAACTCATAGACACCTATGTTAGTTTTATCGCAATGTATATGCTATGAAAAACTGAAAGAATGTTTGGTTGTCACTGAAACTGTGTCCTGGCCACATAAGAAAACGTGCACAAGTTAGATTACTCCTGATTAAATAACCCATTGCAGTTCTACTATTAGGTGTGGTGTGATCTATCATTAAATTGAAAAATAAAGTAGGGGAATGGTCATGATTCTTCATTTACTGTTTTCTGTCCAAAACTGATTTTGTTTGGTTATCACACTAAAAATATAACTTTGCCTCTGTACCTAATTTTAGTGGAATAGCTTTAAAAGTATTAAAAATGAGTCTTGTGTGGCATTAATCTGAGTTTTGCAGTGAAACCATAAGTCTGTCCAAATGCACTTGTGTGTTTGTGTGTGGTTGTTGGAATGATTAAACTGATTGATATGCAAATGCATTTGCTTTGCCAGTAATCACTTGATTTTGAAACTAATAAAATTTGGGTGATTAATGCAAGAAATTATAAACTTTGTAAAATTTTGCTGTGAGGTAAAAAATGGAATGAAAGAAATGTAGAATATGCATGTCTTTTCCACAGATCTATGATTTGAAATGAAAAAGAAATGAAAAGGAATAAATTGTCTTGAAGGAATTTGTTCCATTAACTGCACACTTGCACAGATTTTTCCTGAAACACATCTAAAGAACCCAATTAACACTATCCCTTAAAAAACCAGTCCCATTCAAGTGGCTTAATTAATGGTCCTCTCCACAAAAAACACAAACAACACAACACTCAAATACAACAAACAACTTCACCGCCGCTGCGGCATGTGTTGAGCAATGCCTCTGTGGCTCCATCTACTAATAAGGTGATTATGATTATCCCAATTTTCTGCAGGCGCAAAGTCTTGCAGATCTCGACCGGGATCAACGCAATGGGTACAATCAAGTGGGACCTAGCACTGTGTCTTCTTCTTGCCTGGGTCGTTGTCTACTTCTGCATATGGAAGGGAGTTAAATCATCGGGCAAGGTGAACTTAGTTGACTGATCGGGGCAACAGGGACGGTGAGACCCTGCCCAATCAGCGACTCAACACACTTTTACCTTATTACAACCTTTTTTTTTTTTTTTTTGGTTTATTTTTCAATGTGTACTATGTTTGTGCTCATGTATGCCCCATGTAGACTTTTTGAATAAAATATTTCTTTGTTATTACATACAGATTACACTCACGAAGTGTGCTTTGCACACTGGTCCGTTCAGATGAGCTCAGGCCCTTGCTATCATGCAAGCCTAAGAACACAGTTGGAGGAGCGAATAACCGTGTGTTCTTTTTTCAGAGCAAGTTAACAAAGTTGGTCTTTGCCTTGTGCATTGCCATGGACATTGATTCTACACTGAGGACTTTTTAATAATAGTTTTTGAAGAATTTTTATGAGCTCTTCTATTGAAATAGAATATAAATTTGTTTTGGTAAAATCATAGGAATTGTAAGCAGTGTCAATTTTTTTTGTTCAGTCTTAAGTAATACTTCTCCTTATAGTTTTCATTAAAAGTAAAATAACTTGCAAAAAACTTTATTGCCAATATTTCTGGTTCTTCTTTCTCTGTCAGCCATATTGTTGCCCTGCACCTAATTAGGTGCGGAAGAGCAATAATATGGGCAAGAGCAGAACCTAGGGAGATCATGAATAGGGCAACACATTGATATGAATTTACCTCACAGCTCTTATATTTTAGGTTATGTATTTCACGGCCACGAGTCCATATATCTTCATGACAGTATTGTTGATCAGAGGCGCAACACTAGATGGCGCTGTAGATGGCATTAAGTATTACCTCCTCCCTGACTTCACCAAGATTGGAGAACTTCAGGTTAGTTTGGTGGTTATGTTACATTATAATTTAGCTTAAAGATACAGTTTGTTGTATATTGCTGAAAAAGTGAAAAAATCACTAACAAAAATACCCTTTGATGGTCTTTTAGCACTTTTAGATCATCACTCTTTGGTCTTGTAAACTAATGAAAAGAAACATGTACATGTAGCTCTTATTTGCATGTATTGATAAGATCTGGAAATATAGAGCCACAAATGTTAGGATCAAGAATTTGAACATGTATTATGCAAGTTCATCAATATAAACTTTGTAAATAAAGCAATGCTTCTTATTTTGATCAAATACCATAAGGCACTAGACCAGGGACTGATAAATGTTGCCTGCCCTTTTATTTTGTCGATCTTTGGGTTTTTTTTTATTTCAGTATTTATTAGCAATTAAAATGTGCCCATTTTTAAAATCCTTTTTTTTTTTTTTTTTTTTGAAAAATCTGAGGTTGGAGAAATGTTGTACACAAGGGCTGATGTGTTATTTGTATCAAATTGAACCCATCATTTGAGGTCCAATTAAGGTGATATTAACGGTTATATAGTTTTTTGACAAGATTGAATGAATTTGTACTGTATATGAGCATAATCATCATCATCATCAATAAGGTTTTCATGTCCATTGAATCAGATCTAAATCTGTACTCAGATACTGAGATTATTTTAGAAGCATTGAGTTTTTTTTTTTTTAATTTTTTTTTTTTTTTTTATTTTATTTTTGTAAGGTGACTTTTCTAAACACTCAAGAGGTGGGTTTTACGTTTCTACAAGTAGGTGTGGCTACCTGAGAGTGTAATTTTGACCATACACATCAATAATGGAAAAAAGAAAAAGACCTTTTAGAAGCATCATCTTGTTGTCAAGAGAATTAAAAATACAAGTGCACCCAATTTTTAATGCACTGAATACACATGTTTTTCACAGATAAAGTTTGCCTATGTTAAAGCCAGGTTACACAAATATGAAGCATGTCTGGGTTCTAAATTTAACTCAGCTAAATGGCAGATAGGAAAGAGAGTGTTTTTCTATCTTCCAGACTGGTTTAGGGAATGATCTTGGAGGAATTTTGTTACATGAGCACTGCTGAGATAATACAGATGTTGTATTCCAACGAAGTACGAAAATATTGCTATTACCAAGACGTGGTATCAACTTTTCTCCTTTCTGTCTTCTTTCATTAACCCATGTCTGACAGTTTTATCCTTGTGCATGTATCTCTATATGGCACCTGCAGTCCAGTGTAGTGCAGTATTAGTACAGTAGATGTACGGACCCCTATATGAAGTAAATAGTTATCAATTCATCTTTAGTTTTTTTTTTTTTTTTTTTTTTTTTTTTTTTTTTTTTTTTTTTTTTTTTTTTTTTTTTTTTTTTGCTTATTTAAAAGATCTTAATTAGGAATTAAGACATTCGTCCTCAGTCTAGACATTATTTTCACAGGTGACTGGAACATGAGATATGGATTGTTTTTTTATCTAGATCTCATGATGAAGTTGATGATAAACATGTTATCGGTAGCAGTGATGGGGATCATAGACACAGTAAAACACAAATGACTTACATCTGTGAACTTCTATATTACATAACTGAACATCAAAAAGAATCAATCAAATGCAATTCAAAGAAATGTGAAGTATGTGTGTAGGGGGGACGGGGGGGGGGGGGGGGGCACCACAAACACTGCATTCCTCTCCCCCCCTCCCCCACCCCCCCCCAAAGGAAAATTTTTTCCCCAAAC